AAAAAAAAAAAAAAAAAAAAAAAAAAAAAGAGGAAAATGCAAAGCATCGTCATGCTGAAAAATGGTCACAGGGCACTTGGAACTGAAAGCTCATTTGAAAGTGCCCTGACACCATTTTTCAGTACAGGGACGCTAATACGCATGATGCTGGAGTGTGGTAATCTCCACTCAGAAACATCTTCCTGGAAAGAGCAGTCAGTACTACTCAGTGCAGGCCATTCCACCATTTTGCTACTGCTGTGCACCCAATTTTAGCTTTATTTTGCCTCTACTTACCTTGAACGGTCGGAAGAGCAGGTAGAGCTCTCTGGGCTTGATGTCAACAGGAAGACCACTGACAAACAGTGTCCGTACCTAGGAGATATGGTTAACACTGAGTACCAAAAAAACAGGGTTTTTTTTTTTTTTTTGCAGTATCCAACTCTGCAGGCTGGATCCAGCCTGTGGGTTGTAGATTGCCAGCCACCTAAAAAGCAAGAAGTTATTCACTCCAGAAAAGTCAGCATCACCTTCGAAGGCAGTCCTAGATCCTTCACAGTGGAAGGAACCAACAAGAAGGTGCTTAAGCCTATATGTGCTAGAGCCACCATCTCCAGGAGGATTTTAGACCTAGACAGGATTTTTGTCTACACCCAGACTGGACAGCTGTGCAAGCCAAGGCCCAGACTCTGCCCCTCGGTATGAAATAAGCTGCGTTTGACACTGGAGCACATGTTTTTAATCTAAGCACGCTGATTTCCTAGAACCCCCTTTCTGACTGGAAGTTCCTTTAGTCCTGAAATATGGCCTGGCTAACAGTATTGCCAGCCTTAGAAGTGGTTTGTTAACCAGCTCCTCTCCACTTCCATGAGGCTTCTCATTTGTGAGCCAGCCTTCAAAGTGGAGGAATGCTTTTGTGGGCATGATTTGCCCAAAGGAGAGTCCACATTTCCTTAGCCTACTCACCTCTAGGGCAAGTTTATTACTTCCATTCCCCTCTCCACTCCCTCCATTAGTACAAGAACCAAAAAAGGGACCTGGGAAGCAGCTACACAAGAAACTAGGCATAAGTCTCCACCAGATATGGGGTGCTGGGGCAAGAAGAGGCGAAGAGAAAGATCTGTTGTAAAGTACCAGGTAGAGAAGATGCCCAGGGATGGCAGGAGGTTATTGTTTGGAGCTCAGGCTGCATAGCCCTCAAAAAGAAAAGAGGTCATGTGACCTAAAGGAAGAGCTTTTATCATTGCAAGAAGCCTTCCTGCAGGCAGCATTCTCTCACATACAAGAGTCCACAGGAAGTGGCCTGAACTGCTCTTCCATCTCCCAGGCCATCCACCATCTGCAGCTCCCCCTCAACCATCATCCTACCCCACATGCATCTTTCACTGGATCTCATCTGGTGACTAGCTCCAATGTCATACCCTAGGGCATATAGGAACAGCCAGTTTTCAGTGAGGCTGAAGACATACCCACAGATAAGGAGGCAGTTACCACCTTCAAGAGCAGTCTTCCCTCCAAAAAGCAGATAAGCTGCAGGGGAAAAGTGATTGACATCTTGCCATCTTCAGCCCCACTGGCAAAAGGAAGAGGGAACCCATTTTGAACAAGGAAGTTACTTACAGCATTAGTCAAATTTTTTGAGGGGTAAAAACCCCCAATTGGGAACTTCTGTTAAACAGTAGTTTTTGGCAGCTGTCAACAAGATCTCAGGAAGGGCATGACATACTGAAGCTTTCCATCTGCTAAGAAACCATTTTCACCATTAGATCAGAGGGGCCACCACACACCAAGTTATACAGGTAGCATTTCCTTTACCAATGCCAGGAAGTTCAGAAACAAGGCAGGCCATTCCAGCACCACATCCAAGCAGTAGAACTGTCACCAGGTGACAAAGAGTCCTGCTGAAGGCCCACATTGTAGAGACTTGCTGTACCCTGGCTTACTTCATAGGAGCTCACTCACTACAAGGAGGTTCTTCCTCCCATTTGTAACATGCAGCTGGCATTTCTGAACTTAAGTACTCAGCCTGTACAAGCACATTTTGCAGCTGCCCGTTTACCCATCCAGATAAAAAAGGGAAAAAAATCCCACAAAACCAGAAGATCCAAGATCCCTGGTGGACACATGAGTGGAGCATTTTTCTACATCTTCTCTGAAGCCATGGCCATTGCTTTTAGTTTCTTGATTACTTGCTGGAAATAGATTGTAGAGATTTTAAGAGCATGATAGAGGGGTCCAGACTAAACCAAAATCATGACGAAGTATACTCCCTTCTCCCTGGCACCACTCTTTGCTGCCATCACATGTTGAAGGGTATGTCGAGTACATCTTCAGCATTGCTCTACGGCCACAAGAACCACCTGAATTCCAGTATTTCCCCACTTTCCATCCACCATCGTGGTGTCAAGGAGCTACAAGCTTTATTATGCATACCATCCCCTGGACTTTCAGTGCAACTGTCTCCAGTTTAGGTCAAGGATTCATTGACTAGTTGGCTACAGGAGTAGGGAGTTCTCTTCAGGATTACTCACTAAGAGGCTATGAATCATTCAGATACATACACACAAGTTGCCCCTTTATATGGGCAGTTTCTCCCAGAAGAGATGAGACCTGTCAAAGCACCATAAAGAGGCAACACAAATGAAGAGCCAAAACTTAGATTTGTTATATTAAAACCTTGGGATCAAGCCCTACACCAAGCTAGGAAAGAAACAGCTTTGTACACAAGAAGCTTGCAGGTAAAGGGGAACTCCTAGATTTACCCCTAGCTACTGCCAGAATTTGAGCCCTGCAGTCTCCTGATCTGGCTCACCACACCTCCCCTTGGGGAGTCCCCTGGTTTGTATGCAAGCCAAAGTGATTTAGCTCCATGAAGCAAGAGGTCAAGGCAATGCTGTGTGCAGGCAGCTGAAGCTTTAAGTCAGCTGCTAGTGAGCACATAGAAGTCCAATAGGAAGTGGCAATTTGGACAGTTGCCAGTCCACCCCAATTCACCCAAGCTCTCATGGTACCTTTTGAGTGCTGCGGACCACCCACCATCATGGAACTGATGCTATCAGTTTGACATCTCCTGTACTGCCTTCAGATGCTCAAATCATGGAGGCTCTGGAGCTCAACCTTTCTGGCCTGAGACAGGCAAGAAGATACTTCTCAGCTGTAGTGAACTTAAACCTACTGCCTGGGTGAGCTATTAGTTTCATTTCTCCTTATCCTATTCCAGCTGTCCCTGTTTCACTTGCAAAGTCAGGACGCTCAACTCTCTCCTCCCTCCTCCCCCAGCTCTCACAATTCTCCCGAATACCCTGGACAAGGAAGTGCATGCCTTTGCAATTGCAGCATTCTGCCAGTTAATGTTGAACTAGGCAGTGCTCTTCTGCCAGTTAGTCTCTCCCTCATGCTCAGCTGAAGTTGAGGACAGGGGGCTAGTCATTAAACTATTCTCCTTGCAAACTGCTTTGATCTCCTAAGAACTTTATGGCTTTGGGTAGCCCAGTTAGTTGTCTACAGACAGTTCAAGGGTTTGTTCAGTAGCTTCCCTTTCTCTTACCCTGGAGGGGCAGGGCGGTTACCACCTGATGTCACAGCTTAGTGTTAAGCCTTCCCCCCCTCCCCCTTTCCCAAAAAAATGAACAGCAGTACATGCCCCTGGACCACCACGCTACAGGTGTAAGCTCATCCAAGCTGGACAAGACAGTGCCAAGTCCCTAGTTTTGGTAACCAACTGTGCAAGCTTCCTCCATGCTCAAAAGCCAGGCAAGGCCCCCCTATGCTCCCCTTCCCCCCCAAAAAAAAAGTTACAGGAGACCTACCTTTCTCCTGAAGTCTCTCCCACTTACAAGAACATGTTTGCATCTCTCTCCTAGGATTATTAATTACACCAGCAAGCCCAACAGATAGTGCAAAGTAAGTGTCCTCCCAGACCACCCCCCTACTCCCATCCTCCCCAAAGCAATAAAAAGATTGGTTTCTAGACAAAGAGAAGCTACCCAAGAACTTCCCAGAACTACAGCTTTCAAGTGGTCTTTGAGTACTACCCTCCTTAGAAAACCGGACTTTGCCTTTCCACAGTGTTTGCCACCAATCTATCCTGGCAGAACAAAGCTGTGCTGTATTCTTCCTTGGTGTGCTACCATCCTCTCTCCCACTTGAGCCCCCTCCTCCCCCAGCCAAAGAACACCAATAAACGTGCAACTAGCTGTTTCACTACCTTCATGGCCGGGGGGGGGGGG